CACGAATCACTTTGACCCTAGAGCCTACCCCCTCAGGACAGAAAACTTTCTGGAAGGGTAAATAAAATAAGCAACTTAATTTTTAATTTTAAGGCTTTTTATAAGAGTATCTTTGATAAGCGCTCTGTTGGTGTTGTTTCAGCTTGCATTTACGCCAGAAATGAATACAAAAAAATATTCGCCACACGACACCAAAACTAAACCCTAACACAAAACCTCTCAATTATTACTTGTTATACAATTTTTCAATCGTTTTCAACGACGCGTGCTTCAGGGGCAGTTAAAATCGTTTTCTCTTTTTTTTTTTTTTTTTTTTTTTTTCGTGTTTGAATTTACGAAGAGAAACCCTGCACTCTAAAAGCCTGAGATTTATTCACACCGGAAATGTGCGGTTTGTAAAATAAATCTGCAGTCGCTCGTTTCTATCGATCCACAATTTTTTCAGAAATTACCATTTTTAAGATTACGTGTTTCAGTGTCAACAAATGAAAATATTGCTAAACCCGGAGGTTTTCAAAATAATGTAGCACTTTTTTCTGAATTTAAACAATTGTCGCGCTTTTTTTCGTTTCGAAAATCAGCGGATTGGCGAGAACTGGTATTTTATAAAGACACGGAGTGAGGAGAGAGGAAGATTCTTGGACTGAAAAAGCCGGCGGGATCCTCGCGATACGTTTCTGCTTTGCCCTCGGGCGCCGTTACTCCCACATCGACCGGCAGCAAAATTTTGGTTTTAAAATGTTTTAGCTACAAATTAAATACGGGCGTGAGGAGTACAGGAAATTGACTAGTTGGCCCAAAACCAAACTAATCATTAAAGGTGTCAAAAAAGGTTCGTCTTTACCCTGATTTGATTTCTATTTTCAAATGCAAATTCATACGTATAATCACTTGAACTCCATCTATTACGTGCTAAATATGTATTTAAGAAAGCGTTGGGGAGATTTTTATCAAAGCACGCGCTGATCGCATAATTAATTCAGAAGTTGGTGCGAGTTGTACGTGTGGCAAAATTATCACTCGCGTGTCAAATGTGACTGGTATACATGGCAAACTAATAGGCTCAACTACTGATCTTTTCCGGAGAAACACGCTATTTTAAAAATGTAAAGTGAGGAACTTCGGAAACGATGTACAAACAGCTTTTATTTATGGGTCACAAGGGGAACTCAAAACGAGGGCTGTCATTTATTTTGAAAACAAACATATTTTGGAGAATTAGGTTCTATTTTAAGAAATCAATCAAGCTTCTAAAGGAAATGTCTTTTTTTTAAATCAAAATTCAGCTTACAGGATAAAATAAATTTACCTTGATTCAACTCATTCGTAAACAAAACTTCGATGTTATGTTAACTACAGCGGCTTTCTGCTATAAAAATCGCCGATAGTCTTCAGCTAAACAAAATGTGTGATGTCCGCATTGGACCTTGGTGACGGGTGAGTGACGTAAACAGTTTGAAAAGAACTTACTTCATTGGACAATCAAGGCGAATTGACGTCAGAAAGGAGTTCACCTTTTCAATGGGTCCTCACCAACAGTCTTGTCGGTGGAGTTTTAAGAAAAAAAAACAAATGAATAAAATAATCAGCTAATTTAGCATGTGAGCCCCGGCACGAGTGTTCCAAGCGCCGCCTACATGTGACCGTTCCCACCAACGAGGAAAGAAAAAAAGGGATGCGATCAGAGGGAAGTAGGGTCATTTCCTCCCTCCAGTTTTTTCCTCGGATGATGGTATGCCAGCACGGCAACAAGCGAGCAATGCAGTTTCACGGCACTGACTGGGATCCAAATGAGTTGTGTTATTGGGAGGGACAAAATTAAATGTATCAGAAAAAACTGTTTTAGTGTGATGGAGCGGGTGAAAGTTCACCATTTTCGCAAGTCGCACGCTCAACGCACGAGTCTTGAGGGAGGTGCAAGTGTTGCTAATCACAGAAGCTTAAGGGTCATAAAGGGTATCTTAGAGTATCCAGTATCTTACTGGATGCTCAGTAAGATACTAGAGTCATGTGTTCCGTCATCTCGCATGTGTTTAGGGAAAATGAGAGCCTTGTTACCGACAACCAGTATCGGGGGCATATCGCAAAGATTACTCTACTGAATTACTATTGACACATCTTACAGAGACCTGGAGACATGCGCTCGATGCTAATCGTATTGTTGAAGTCGCCTTTGCGGACTTCCAAAAGGGCGTTTCGACGGCGTGTCTTACTTAACCCTTTGAATACCAAACTTAGGCCAAAAAATACCGTTTTTAACCGTTTAGTCAGGTTTTTTAGCGGCCATGACGCTAAATAAGCCTAAGTTTTGCTAAAAAAAGCTTTTTTTTTACTAAAAGGAGAGATTTTTCGAGGATTAGGTACAAAATTGATTAAAACTTCAATTATTGTTCTCAGTTTCCTTTGTTGGCCCTTTCCTTTCTGTTTTTCTCTGCCCTTTTACACTGGCTACCTTTTGCGTTGTATGTTCTTTCTGGCTGCAGTGAAAAGTTGGATGTTAGTTACGGGCGAAGCCTAGAAATGGACCTTGATCAATCATAGGCGTTGTGGACCATTTTACCACCGTTTTTGCACCAAAACTGATAACCTTGTTTTTCGATTTGCGACGTCGGAATGTCGTCGACACCTAAACCTGACCATTGTGCGGAAAGGGCTAGCCTAGCACTACTATCTGCTTATCAAGAATATCTGATGACATTTAAATTGATGACGTCACAAGTGGTACAAAGAGCACGACCATTAAGTGGCCGTATATGGCCACTTGGACGTCAAAGGGCTAACTCTGATCACGAAGTTACGGTTCCAGTTTGGGATATCAGGAAATTTTTATTGGCCTGGTTGCAGGACTACCTAACGGAGAGAATGCAGTGTACAGTATTAAATGGCACACCCTCAGACAGTGCAAAGGTAACAGCCAGCATCCCACGGGGAAGTGTACTGGGTCCGACACTCTTTACACTATACAGAAGTGATCTACCAGGAGCGATTAGTCTGCAACGGTTTATATGTACGCAGATGACACAACAATCTGTTGCATTGGTAATTCAGTGGGTGAGGTTATATTGAAGCTCAACAAGGCCCTCGAGGAACTAGTTAATTGGCGTAAACAAAACTCTTTAGTACCACACCCTAAAAAGTGTGAAGGAATGATTCTTAACAGAAAGAAATTCACTGGCCCCTTTCCAAGCCTCCACTGGGTGCCACACTGTAGATTGTTGGGGATTACAGTAGATAATTGGCTCACGGGGGCAAAGCACCTATCAGAACCCCAAAAAACCATGAGAGATCCAAAAGGGTTTGCAAATAAGCTACGTCTTCTCTACGTCTTCTACGTCTTCTTCTAATTTTTCCGCCTAGACCGATGATCTTAGATCGGTATAATAAGGTTATTTTACCATCTATAACGTACGCACTACCTGTTTGGAGGCGGGGGGTTGTGAACAAGCAAGGTTTTGCGCCCTGGTGGCAATTCATTGCCGTGCTGCCAGAATTATATATAATTTACCAATGAACACACCGACAATAAAGGTCCGCCAGCTAGCCCATGTATTGGGATAAGCTATCAGACATGTACAGAGTTAGACTAGCCACCTTGATGTATAAAATAAATTTTCAGATTGCACCTCCATGTATGGAATTCATGATTAAGAGACGTCCGACCTCATATAATTCAAAGTACGCAAACAGATTAGCAGTTCCTTCCTCTAACAGTTATTATATGAATAACTCCATTACCTATCGAGGAGCCGTCATTTGGATATCCTCCTTTCGCCTCTTGCAAATGGCAGAGGAATCAACGTCTTCATAAAGAAGGCTTGGCAGTCCACATAAGCAGTTGAACTTTTCAGCCGAGTCACCTTCTGTCATGCAACAAATGGACCCAGATTTTATTTTTAATCTATACTGTTCGGGGAGGTACGGGTGGGAAGGGAGTGGAATATGAACCAAATAGATTAGGGGAGGGTGGGAACGGTAAAAAGACGATTTAGTTAATGTAGATAAAAGGTTTAATTGTGTGATGTTTTAAAACATATTTTTGAATTAATTGTAATAATAATAGGCTACAGTATTTATTATTTTTTATTTTATTTTAGTGTACGGCCCCATAAGCTTATAGCTTTAATCTTTATCGTGGATAAATAAAGTCTTGATTTGATTTGATTTGATTCGGAGAGTAGCAGTCGTTTTGAGAAGGGCGACGCGTTCTCCTCGGTTAAATAAGAATAGGCCCTTTGCACGATCCGGTCACACGGTACAGAATAAATTATGCTGGGACGCAAGTTACACAGTGGGACTTCGAAAACAAAGGAACTCGTACCAGTCTAACCCGACTTTCCTTTGTTTCAGAGATCCCACTGTGCAACTTGCGTCCCAGCATAATTTATTCCGTACCATGTGACCGGATCGTGCAAAGGCCCTATTGAATTAGACTTTGTATAAAGGTCTCACCTAGAACGACTCCTTGTATTACAGATATCACACCAAAGTACTGCTCGATAGCTTTCTTGTGAATGGCCATGGGAATGGCTTATCTGAGGTGAATCGTCACTGTCGTGCCATGTTTTAATTCCTGCCTTGTCAGACGTCTCTTTCGGTTGGAGCCCAGTGCCCGTGGTGTTGCACGCGGAATGCAACCTATCCATCAAGCACCGCGCTCCTTGTTTCCCGCTCGAGCCAGCTTTTCATGTCTCATTCAGAAAGCGTAACATTAGAGGACTTCAGATTTTAGCACGAGTACGAGATCGAGTATGAGAACGACTTTTCAATACTAGTTTGCAGGCTTTACATTATCACATCACATACCCATCTCATCCTATGAGCTACTCTCTCTCTACCTAAAACCAACATGAAGAGCGAGGGCTCTTAAAACACCGCTGGTTACAAATTCAAAAATCGTACTCGTACTCAATTTCGTACTCGTTGTTCAATCTAAAGGTCCCTTATAAACTCATCCGTCTTGAAACCGAAACCGGTACGCAAAAAGTTGAAATAAACTAAAATAACACTTTTATCTTGATACTTTTATTATCAATACGGTTGCAGGCTGCGCATCATTAGAATCTGTATTTATCTATCTTGATTTAATTCTATTTCAACCGGTTACAGACACGTTACAACCGATATGCCGAGTTTTCTGGTAATATCGCAGCCTCGTTCCAGGGGCGGGAACAAGAGAGACCCTGGGAACGAGGTTGGTAATATCGAGGCAACATCGTGAGATTTTGAGCGATGGAACTTCGCGTAAGTTATGGTGTGTACATAACCTTGTCTTTAGGCATGCTTTCTCGAGCGCTCCGACTGGTTTAAAAAAGTGTTATTCATCATGCTGTCCAAATCTTCCCAAACACGCTCCTTTTTTCAACCAGTCAGGCGTCAAATCAAGTCTATTCATGACTTGGCCCGTGCTCCTTTTTTCACATGGTACAATCTCGTCCCCAGACCCCGCGCGTTTTCGGTCAGCGATTAACCAAAAGGATCACTGCCACTGGGAAGGAAATTGCGCATGGATTCGGTTGCATGTTTTTGTATCGAATTGTGATTGGTTAACCGGGTTATTCGAGTTTAGATAAAGATAAAGATAGGGTCAGAGCTGGTCTTTGTGTGAAGTGTCACGCTATCTTGAGGCACGAGATGTTAAACCCGTCTCCTCGATGTTTGGCGACCAGTTCGAGAAGTTTTTGCTTCTTCTGTGAACTGTAAGAAGATTCTAGTTCGTAAATCGTGCACAAGTTAAATAGAAGTCCTTCTTGAAGATTTGTTTTAGGATCTTTCCAGATAATCCTCTCCAGCATAGCAAGGGCCTGAAAGAAGAAGAAAAAATGATATACTTCACCCAAAATTCTCCTTTAACAACGATCTTTGACGAAGAGAGGTAATCCCACATTCAGGCCTTATTCCTTACGTAATTCCTCCAAGTTACTTTTAGATCACTTCCGGGTTTGGAAATTCCAGGGGGTCAAGTAATAGCCAATCCTGTGACGCAAATTTTACACACGTGGACAGTCCAAGCGGGTTACACGCATCTTCATCCTCCACGAAAACATCCAGGCAACACGCGTGGTAACATTATCTGCGGGAGAACTGGGTACCAAGTCTAAAAATAACTTGTGAGGTATCACCTTAGGAATAAGGATTTAGATTTACTATCTCACTCTTTATCCTCTCTTTGTAGATACCACAGAAAGAACGATACATAAATGTGCTAGAACAGATGGCAAATAAGTAAAGAACTTCTGAGTGTTTTGAAACTCACCTCTTTCAGTTTCCCGAGGAACAGTAAACAAACAGCAACATTATTTACAGCCTGCGCACGAGAAGAAAGAAAAACAAGACCAAAAAAACGTGTATTGACCAAAAATGTGAGTATTGACCAAAATGTGCTCAGTTTATTCTTAACTAACTATTTTTTTGAACACATTCATGTAGGCAGGGGTCATGAGAAAATAGCAAAAAAGTTTTACTGGACACTCATCGCATTCCAGTGCTTTCATTGATGAATATTTAGCGCTGGAAAAAAACAGCGCGCGCTTTTCTCATTCTTCATAGGTTGTGCAGGTTTCTGACTGCTGTACTTAATGGTATCTACTGAGAGCAACAAAAAGCGAGAGTCGACGCGGCTGCGCCTCGCTAATTGTTCGCTCATAGGAAACACGAAATGGCAAATCAAAATGTTAAATTGAAGTATCAAAGACTGGAAGGATTAGATTGATGTCAAAATTGTACAGAGTACACAAAACAAAGACTGCGAATCTGGTGGGCAGTGAGATGGTTAATGTGGAATAAAAGTTGGTAATCGCTCTGGGAAAGTGAATCACAAAAGACACAGAAGCAAGTGTAATGTCTTACCACAGAATTATAAGGATCCAGCTTAGTAGCAGCTACAAAATGCCTGTGAGCTTCGTCAAATGACCCTGCAGATAGAGCCAACAACCCCCTGTTGGTGATGAAAGAAACAAGAAATTTTCAGCCTTCTTTAACCTCAATCCGGCAAGACTAATATCAATTGAGAGAGAAACTTTGAGAGTACACAGTCTTGGCTAAGAACAACACGAAACAAGCCCAGTCAAGCCTCGAGCCCAGATCCCTCTCATTGTGTCTCAAGACGGTCTCTCGGCTTTAGCCATGCAATCCTCAAGGGTAAAAGATTGCGTGATGAAAAACAAGAACGTGACTAGCACGTGATAAGGCATAAAAACATTTTTCCCTTTTTAACTTTGTTTATTTGTTTTTGTTTTTTGGGTAAAGAAAAGGTGAGAGAGCCGAAAGTTAAATAACTAAAAAGAGAAGATAATTACAAAGAGAGCTTACTTGTTCATGACCACGCTGCTTAGTGACTTTGGATCACCAGTGGCCTTAGATTCCACCTGCTTGAAATAACTTTGTGCCGTTTCCAAATCTCCAAGCTATAAAAAAAAAACACGATTCATCAGTAAAACCATCAGATAGAGTGACAGCGACTTTCAAAAATATTTGTTATACCTCCCAACTCAAATACGTTTTCCAATTGGAGGAGAACGCGTCACGAGTGAAAATTCACTATCTCCCTAGGGAAACAACTTGAACTTTCAACTCGCACGTGAACAGGTCGTGCACCTTGAAACCGCGGAAAATTTGTGAGCCCGCCGGCGTCAAGCAAATAACTTTTTCGCAGTTCAAGGCTGTTGCCTAAGGAAATTTTAAAGGAGCCCTTTGGGCTCCTAACTCCAAAACTTAGGAGTCCAAGCCACTTTTTTAGAAGCCCAGGATAAAATTTGCCGTGGTCAATCTGTCTTTAAAACATTTAAAGTTAGTTTATTTGCTATTAGCCAGTTTTGGAGAAACTATAAATCCATATTCGTATCGTGTTGCAACTCAGGGATGCTGCAAGCAGTGAAGGTGGCTGTGGTCAATCGGGGGGGTTGTGTAAGGGGTATAAGGGGTATAAGGGTATAGGGGGTGTAAGGGCATAAAAGTATAAGGAGTATAAGGGGTATAACGTTAAAGGGGGTATAAGGGTATAAGGGTATAAGGGATAAAGGGTATAAGGGGTATAAGGGTATAAGAGTATACGGGTATAAGTGGTATAAGAGGTTTAAGGGGTATAAATGAGTTTGTTCTATTTTTAGGTTGGGAGATATGACAAAACACTTAACTGGTCCCACGGGAAACAGTCAGTTTTGAATCCCCTCGATCCTCATTGAGGGTCTCGGGAAACAAAACTCAATGGGTCCTCTCCATTATGCCAAACAGACCGGTCATAGATCAGTGGGGATACCCAACGAAAATGGATCGACATTTTCCGATTAAACCGGGCCAACCAATAGGAATGATTCTTACCATTTTGTAGTCCTTTTCCGGATTCCCTAATTAGGGCAAAGAACCGGTTTGTCAAAATTAGAAAGGCGAATTTCGGTCGGAATATTCCGACCGAAATAAGTGGACCACCTCCAGAGGGGATCCCAAATATTCCAGACAGAAGAAACTGAAACGGACCTTTCCATTTGAATTCCGACCGAAATTTCCGGAATCTTTGGCATAATGGAAGCACCCACTATTTTGCTTGGGACAACTTATTAAGTGCTTATCATACGGCAAGCTTGCTTTACGATTGCTTTTACTACTGAAACTTTTTCCTCTGATTGGTTCATTGCGCTAGCTGCGTCTACTGTGATTGGTAAACGCACTTTTCGCGCGCTTTTCGCCGGCTGCAAATAACACCGAGTTCTGATTGGTTCATTTATCTACCTCCCGCCAAAGTGATTGAATCCACGATTAAACTACTCAACCGCTTCACTCTGCCGACTGTCAGTTGATATTTTTTGAACACATGCGTCACATTTCATGGCTGCATATACACATATTTCTTGAATTATATAGTTTACCTGTAAATAGATTCTTCCAATTCCAGATAGCAAGCTGAAGGTACAAGAAGGATCTTTAGCTATGATTGATTCAAAAACCGTCACAGCCAAACTGTAATCCTGTCAGCATAAAACCAAAAAAATACCAAATGGTTAACATCACAATGTATTAAGGCTCTGTTTCACGCGGAAGCTTCCATACAAGTTGCCTCTAGACTTGTCTGAAAGCGGAGAATTAAGGTACACAAAATCTTGCACTATTAAACACGAGGACGGTTGCCACTTTCGCTTAAAGGAGCTCAGTCAAGGTATTTTGAGTTATTTTTTCCAGGTACAAAAATTCACTTTAAATCAAAGGAAACGTGAAAATAATAGTTTATTACGATGGACATATACCAAGGAGATTTATAATTAACTATAAAGGAACAAGGATGGAGAAGATTAACACAGATTACAAAAGACGAACTTAAAAAATTAGACTAAACTTTTCATGACGCGAAAACCGTGACGTAGCCTTTTTAACGGTAAAACTCATTGCTAGACGAGTAAACGGAACAGAGAATGAATCAGACCAAAAATCGACTTCTCTTAATAACAAAAATTCCTTGCATTAAATAAGGGCATGGCGTTTCATCTCACCTTCATTCCAAGAAAACAGTTTCCTATTGAGTAAAGAACTCGCACCTCTCTGGAAATCCACAACTCTAACGCAGCTGAAAAATAACTTGTGTTATAACGCTCGAAAACTTGTATAGAATTAAGTATTTTTGGTACGTGATCACCGATCGTTTATCATTTTGTAGTTACCACTTTAGTCTTACAATTTTAGGGGCATGCCTGCCCACACATTGAGTCTCATGACTTCAAGTTATTTATCTTAGTTTATCCAGAGTACTTAAGCTCCGAGCGATGCCCCAACGATAGCCATGTTTGGGTTTGTCTACTGGCCTTGCTCTGGATCTTCCACAAAGATCCTGTTTAGGTTTCTTGTTCTCTAAACTTTAGTTTCCATTGGTCGTTTCAAGAACTTTATAGTTTGCTTCTGAAAGTCGTGTGATAGTGTTTGCGTTACTAAAAAAAGATGTTTAATCCTCCAAGGTCAGTTCGTCTCATGAGGCCCACACATGGCTACCGATAGGCTATTTAAGTACGTGTCCATTCGTTAGTCAAGTAGTAGTTGTTGAGGAGTGGTGCTCTAGTAGTAGAACCAGGAGTAAAAGCAGAAGCAGCTCTACAAGTAAGACGGAGAAGTCCAAGGAATAAAAGCCCCGGAGACTAGAGTCTCGGTACCTCTTCGCGTGGAAGACCTAGAGATATCCAATACTTGTTTAAGTCACAATAATCCCTTCTGTTTTAAGAAGTAATAGAAAGACAGAGTTGAGGCTACAAAATTCATTAAGTTTTGGAATCTTTTTATTTTTTTTTTCGTTCCTCATTTGTATGATCTGTTATAAAATAACTGAGCTACTACGCGCGCTCTCATTGGCCGATAGGTGTGTTTAGTTGAAAGTATGTAAACACGGTTGTGACATTTTAGATTCGCGCGTATTTTTGAGAATCATTCTATAAAAGCAATAGAGCACTTTTTCCGTGTTTACGTAGCCTCATCTAAACACTCGGGGGTTGGGAGAATTCTCGAAAGTTATGCAAACCCGAGACGTAGTCTCGGGTTTGCATCACTGTCTCGGATTCTCCGAACCCTCCTCGTCTTTAGATCAGGCTATGTAAACACGGAAGAAGTGTTCTATTGCTTAATTATCATAACGCAATTTAGGAATTTTTCTACTCACGAGTGGGTAACTTTTGTGTAACGCGTACTTTGTTTAGCGACGTGACAAAGTCCTCGTGGAGTATGCTCGTGTGATCCCGAACAAGACAAATTACGGAGTACAGTTGAAACTCTCTACAATGGCCACCCTTGGGACAGAGTGAACTAGTCATTAAAGAGAGGTGGACATTGTTAGGACGTAAAAATAAGAGCATATCTCTAAACTAGGACAACAATATGTGGTCACTGTAGAGAGGTGGAAACACTCAAGGCAGATTTGACCACATGTCCAAACACATCGAAGTTGGTCAGAAATACTCTGCTACGAGTCGTATTTTTAACCTTCTTAATTCACGGTGTTTGGAGAAGTGGTGAGGCGCGGTCTTTCGTGTTCGATATAATACTAAAACGACAGCAAGCTATTTTCTTACCTAATCTACCCTCAGGTGTCATCTCCCCCTGCCCTCCATCCTCAGTCAGATTGTCTTGCAGGTTTTTCAACACCTTACAGCAAGTTCTCTGGAGCTCATACAAGTTGTCCAATGCATCTTTAGGTCTGCCCATGTATTGGGGCAGTTCTGCCTGCAGTATCCTCAAGGAAAATGGTACCATAGATCCTGCAAGAAAATGCTCAATCTTATTTAAATGAATTAAACAATGAGATTCTGAAGACTGTGAAGAAACTGTTACAGTTGAGTATCTCTTAATCAAGAAGCGGAAGTGACTATTCTAACTTAAGTCCGGCGCCTGAACTTACTCCGCACCCATCGCGCCCACCCCCAGAAGTTTATTCCACTAAAGGTATCATGTGTGGGTACAAATTCAGTTTTTGACCGAGAACAATTACTGATTAGAGCAATTTAGCTAGTGAGATAATAACATCCGATTCATTAAGTCATTTCAAGTTAGCTTTGAACAAGACACCGTTGACATAGTTCTCTTTTTTTTTTCTTTTTTAGCACTGTATGCAGTAGTTTATTTGTTTTTACCTATTTGTATATTTATTTTCTTATTTTCTTTTTCTATGACTTGCAAACCATCCTGATAGGACATTACAAGTCAAGAATGTAGGTGTAGATGTTGCATCATTGGCATAGCGCTTTACAGACGCCTGGACAAAATGTAAAACAAAAAGGTCACGTCTGCATATGAGTCAAGTGGCCCACCAGGCCGGAGCTTATCCCGGTTTCAATAGCATGAAGTGACTAGGAGTATTTCTACTCCCCTCTGGTTGGGATGCTAGTCCATCACATGGTTACCCCCGTATTAAGTTCGCCGCTACCCAATTATAAACCTTGGTAGACAGAGGTACTTCATCCACTGTTTTCAGATCGAATTGGAATTTGGAGTATTGGTGTTTGCGGAGAGAGGAAAACCGGAGAACCCTGAGAAAAGCCCTTGGAGCAAGGCAAGAACCAACAACAAACTCAACTCAGGCCACACTGGTGGGAGGTGAGCACTCTCGCCACTGCACCATCCCTGCTCCCCAATATGTGACGTCCAGTAGCACAGGATTTACCAACCTTTCCTGCCTGGATATGTATCAGGGTAAAACTCGTAAAACAAGTCAGGTTGATTAAAACTTCCAAATGCTTCCAATTCAACCTCGGCAGTGCTAAACATCTGCAGCTTGAAGAGGAGAGCTATACGGCAAAACCAAACCTGCCATGAAAATGACAAGAAATGTAGCTTACTTGTAACAATTTAGGCCAGCGCTTCTCCCCTCCCATCCCCCCTCATCTGTAAATGGTGAGGTTTGAGCACAATGGTATGTGAGAGTTATTTCGCACGCACTGGGCAAATTGACCAGCTGTGAGGATGATTTTGCCCACCTGGTTTGACCATCTAGAGGAAAGTTACTCTCATAAAAATGTTCAGTTCAAAAAGATTTGCTCACCTGTGAAAACCAGTTGCCCTTCTGCTGAAAACATTAATAAAACCCCTGCTACTGCCCTGATTTTCTATGCTACCAACTCACCGATCATGACCTGATATCAACAGATTTTTGGCCACACTTGGACATGGCAAATACCTTGTCCTAGTTTTTTGGTGTGCTTCAGAAGCATATCAGGGTCACTTGGTCTCGCCATGGGTATTTTGGGTTAGTAGTGTCTCGCCAAAATACAAATCATTAAGTCTGCTTAGCCAGCTTAGGAGCCCAGTGGCCCACCCGCCAGCACTTATCTCCAGTTTCTATAGCGTGAAGCACACAGGAGTATTTCTACCCCTCTGGATGGGATGCTAGTATATCCCAGGGTTACCCCCCAGCAGTAAATTCACTGGTACCTATTTATCTACCTGGGTGGAGAGAAGCACTGTGAGAGTAAAGTGCCTTGCCCAAAGAAACAACACAATGTCCCAGGCCAAGGCAGGAGCACTAACCATGAGGCCTCCACACCTCACACAAAAATACAAACTATGGTTTAACCAAACTAACCTGAAATGCGACTTCACTGTACCAACTTGTTAGGCACAGTTTCTCATCTCTTACCTGTAATGTCTTGTGAGTGTGTAAAGCTCGCTGACCCTTCTGACCCACACCCTGGCCATGTGCTGTTAGGAATCTTGTGGTAAATTCCAGAGCAGCTCTCCAACACTGTGACGCCTGAAAAGTAAAATATGTAACATTATATACTGGCAACTATGCAATAAATACCATGAATATAGATATAGATGACTAGTAATTACTGACCAGATTGGGAAAAAGATGGTAGCATATCAATAACAACAAGTCTCTAGACTGCACCTCCCTACCACTCCCTGATGGATGGGTCTGTAACCCTGTGAGTAGTGTAGTAGTATGCCTAAAATGTAACTGCCATGAATTTACATGAAAATGAGTTTCCCAACTAATACCAATGTCATGTAACAACAATGTTTTTACATTACAAAAGGTTCATACTCCTTCTTGGACTAAACATACAAGGACTTTTCAAGTACATTCTTGCAGCATACAATTCCAGTTTTTCAGGGCCACCATCCACTAAAATGACATCATTAGAATGTTACACTGGATGCCAGAATTGTCCAGGTCCAAGTCTTGTTTAGTTCTTCCACTTCGTGGAAACAGTCAAACAAGGACCCAATGTACTTTTCACTGAACCTGAATTTTATTTTCAGAGCAACTACACAATACAGGGCCACTTTTGAAAGTGCACATATTTAGTGGCTCGTTTGGATTGTCAGTGGATAAAAGAACAAGAAAATAATCTGTATACGCGTTAAGTCCTAGGTCTATATATTTAGTGGCTTGTTTGACTTGGCAGTGGATGAAAGAACGAGGAATAATCTATATATGCGTCAAGTCCTAGATTTATATATTTGGTAGCTTGTTTGGCACGTTCGGCTTGGCAGTGGATGAAAGAACGAAGAATAATCTATTTATGCATTAAGTCCTAAGTCTATTCCATTTAGTGGCTCCTTTGGCTCCTTTGGCTCAGCAGTTGGATGAAAGAACGAGGAATATTCTATATATGCGTTAAGTCCTAGATCTACATATTTAGTGGTTCGTTTGGCTCAGCAGTGGATGACAAAGGAGCAAACGAGCCAAACAAGCCAGCTTGTTTGGTGGATGATTAAAAGTGGCCCTGTTTTCTGTAGGTTAGCCTTATTTTCAAATTCAAGGATGGTAGAGGACTTTCAAGGTGCATGCAAACCCTCTAAGGAGACTACAAAAACAAATCTGCATCTACGTATGATACCATGTGCAAGTAGTTAGTGCATACCAGCAATTCTCTGAGCCCTGACTCATCCAATGGGACACTATCAACACTCAATGTTTTTCTATTTTCAGCCTCCTGTTCACCCATAAACTTTAATATGAGCTCCTTCACCGGGTCTACCTGTAAATCAAATCCCAATGGAGAAGTCTCGCGATAATTATGAGTGCAATAGAAAACCTAAACCAATCAAACAAAACAATACAGTACAGTTACAGAGTGTAGCTCGGTTCAGTGCAATACAATGCAATAAAAACTTTTTAAGTTATGCAGAAAAGAGAAAACTATGCTGGAAAAATAAAATCCCAAAACAGAAGACTCATATATTTGCTACCAAGATGGGCATAGCAGTACATTCAAGATCTCAGAAGCACGAACTTTCTCATGGTAAAAGTTCCGATACATGTTTCTAAGTACCTTCCCTCCAGGCTCACACCCCCCACACCCACCCTCCCAGCCTTGTACCCTCCTCTCTCCATCCTTTCCATCCGCCCTCCCCACTCTCCCTCTCCCCCTCCTTCACTTAGTGACATCAACCTACCTGAGGTCCCTCAATAACCAGTCCAGGGGATGTTAAGAACTGCTGGTCAACATCAGATGGATTCAACATCCCTGATCCGATGGTAACAAGAAACTGATTAGTTTGCGGAGTCGCTATCCATGCTGAGTTCCTCCTCTCAGCTTCAGTTTGCTTGCTTCTCACCCACTCTCCATCAGGAGTTGGAGGTGCAGATGTCTGCCTCGGTTCCTGGGATATACTTGGTTTGGTACTGGAGGACTCTTGGCTCTGAGTAACATTTAATGGATCATTAAAACCTTGGGAAGTTTGCTTTGGAATTGGGGCAAGCGGTGGCATGGAATATTCAGCTCCTTGGAATCCTGGCCATTGCTCTGATTCATCTTGCAATTCTTCCTGGTTATTCAGCATCAGAGGTTCTAAAGGTTGCTCTGAAGGCTCATGCAATGATTGTGCCTCTGGAAGTTGATGTGTTGGCTCTGAACTCTCCTTTGCTGTTGAGAAGGTTTGTTGAGATACTTGAGAAAATGGGTCAGTTGCACCTGGTGCAACAAGGGAATCAAAGAAACTGTGTCCTTCTACATCATGACTTGTACTGGATGTTGTAGAAAACAAGTCACTAAGGGTGCGATTATCATTTTGTTCAACAGGTACACCTTGAATTTCCACACTCTGAGCAGATTCATCAGGTTGACTGGTGTACTTTGGCTTAGTGGGGCTTGGTTCTGGTGAGCTGTCATTCATCCACTGACCCTCTAGAACACACAAAAAGGTAATGTTGTTAATCTTTCTGCCACATAGTGGCTACGCTCACAATAAACAAAAGCTACATCAGTTACACAGTCAATATGCATTTGAAGAGAATATAAGGTAACGGACTAAAGTTCATTCCAGCCTCTGAAATAAGGGAAGCTTCAAGAATGCTCATAAGTGCCTTAGCCAGTTTCAGTAACTTTAAATATTATTATTAGGAGTACCGTATTGCTGTTTTCTTTTTTCCTCAAAGAAAAAACTAGGACATAACAGAATATCCCCATCCCTTCCTTTCTTCTTCCCTATAACTCTGCTTCATTTTACAAGGTTTTATCTAAACTTTATCAATACAAATTCACACCCCTTGGTACGGAAATGTGTTGTAAGAGTAAATGTAAAGTGTCTTGTCCAAGAACATAGCAGGAGGATGTCAGCAAGACTCAAACTCTTAGTTCAGTGCATAACTATTAGGCATCACACCTCCCAGCCGGTACATCAGTGATGATCACATTGCTGGCAAAATTGCTATTTGTAAGATCTTTTCTTTGATACTTTGACTTACCTTCAGGGCTAGGACACTGCCAGCCAAAAACATTATCCATAATTTGTGGGTTTCGATAAAGCCATGTTTCAAACTCCTAAGCACAGCAGAACAAAAACTCTATTAGTCACTTTCAAAAGTACTCATAGTTGTCAATGAGAAAGAACAGATGATGGTCACAAGTTAAAAAAGTTACGGTGCCTTTTTTTATATCACAACATGGAGATCGACATAATAAAATTATTAAGGGGATAAAAAAGTGAAAGTCAAGAGTAAACCCTTCTTGGGTCGTGGTGGACTCCAGATAGAGATTCAAGCCTTGGCTGGGGGTTCTTAGCCAAGACACTTTACTCTCACAGCACTTCTATCCACTCAGGTGTACAAAATGGTTACTGGCAAGTTTAATGCCAGGGGTGGAGTGGGAGGTAACCCTGTGATGGACAAGCATCAAATCCAGTGGGGAGTAGAAAAACTCCTGGTCACTTAGTGCTACAGAAACTGGGATAAGCTCCAACTGTAAGGGCCACTTGGCCTGACGCAGACTTAACCTTCCTCAGCATGAAGTGGCCCTTGGTGTTGTTAGCTCTCTCTCTCTCTCTCTAATTGGAATGCTAGTCCATCGCAGGCTACTCCCCAGCATTCTGTCAGGTAATCCTAACAGTTAGCTGGTACCCATTTATACTCCACACTGGACACTATTAAACAATTAGATTATAAGCTCGAGATAGTCTTTCTGATAGAACGCTACTAGATTTATACTAAAACATATTATGTCCAGGCCAAAAAAAACTAGAGAGACCCAGGCCAGTTCTCAAACCAAGACAGCACAAATTTACAACATTTAGCTTGGCACCAAGTAACAAAGATTGCCTCCTAAACTTACTCTTGTTATTATACCAGGATATAAAAATAAGTGTGAATATTTATTTTAACTGTGGTTAACCAACCTTGGCAGAAAGCTTCCCAGTTTTTGAGACCTTACCGGTCTCAAATGCATCATTAACAATCCTAAATTGAAATTAATAAAATTTCATTTATCAAACACCTTGTTCAGTAGTTATGGCTTCACAGTTTGTTAGCTGTTGTGACATGGCTAGAGAAGTCCATGACAAATATAAATGCTGGTTTTTCCTTACTCAAGATTGCTCAGACTAAAAATAATATTTTGCACATAATCAGATGCTCTCAAACTCATAATAATCATCACGTTTAAGCAAAGGAAATCATAACCATGACGTTTATCTAATCTTAATTACCACAGATTTTTACATTTGTATTCTACATTTTCATCTTAGGTTTAGTTTCAATTGAGAGGATATATCAAACACTCAAGAGAGTGTTGGACTACATTATTTTTCAAACACCTCAAAGTTCGTGAAAAATACTCTCTGCTAAATGTACATGTCATATAATTCTTCAACTCGTTTCTTGGTGCAATTGAATATAATTATCTAATGAAAGACCATATATTTGCACTGTGGAGAAAGATATGAAGGCATGATGATCATCACAGTTATATACCAGTACACAACTTAAGCTAAAGCAGCTGTGAAATTGAAGCCTGAAAAAATTTCAGGCTTGAGCGTGATTGAAACCCATGACCCCTGCTATACCAGTTCAGTGCTCTACCAAGAGGGTGGTAAAGGGGGGGGCATAGATCACGTTTCACGGAAAATAAAGCAGCCCTTTCACAATTTACAAAATATACAACATGGGCATTTCATGCTTCACAGAAAATAAAAGAGAACGTTTTGGAAAATCACAGCTCACGGTGACTATGGAAATCACGATTCACAAGGAAAAAAATGGCTATTTCACATTTCACAGGAAATAAAAAGGGCCGATCACAGGTCACGAAAATACCCTTTACCACCCTCTACCAACTGAGCCATAAAGCCAACTGGGAGCTGGCAACCTTCTGGGTTCATAAAATTTCATGAACTCAATCACGTCTTCGTATCATTTTTTGTCTGGAAATGTAGTCAAACACAGTTTTCCATGTTTATCTATTACACAATACAGTAACTAGAAACATTCCAAACTTCAATAGTAAATCTAACACCGCAGGTATATTTACAACCTTGTGACCGTTTCAATCAGCTTGTCTGTGCCACTTCCCTCCTCAGGTTGCTCAGCATCCTCTACATTGTCCAGTATGGTATGTGCTGACTCAAGAGAACTTAAAAGAACAGCAGTCAATTCATCTCTACTAACACCATTGTCTTCTGCCTGCAATCCAATGAAATTTGACAGTGCACCAAGTTAACTGTGAATCAGGAAATAAATATACTCTCTCCACAAGTTTCATTGGCTGAAAATGACCTTGAACATTGAAACTTCATCAAAATGATGTCCCCAATTTTTGTACTGGTAACGGAATTTTCTTTTCCATTTTACAATTGACCCTTGATGCATCGGGGAGGCGTGGTGGCCTCATGGTTAGTGCGCTCGTCTCCGGATAGAGTGGTCTGGGTTCAAGCCCTGGCTGGGGACATTGTGTTGAGTTCTTGGGCAAGACACTTACTCTCACAGAGCCTCTCTCTACCTAGGTGTATAAATGGGTACCCGTGAACTTAATGCTGGGGGGTAACCCCGCAATCGACTAGCATCCCATCTCAGGGGGAGTAGCAATACTCCTAGTCGCTTGATGTTACAGAAACCGGGATAAGCTCCAGCCTGATAGGTCACTTGGTTCGTATACAGACTTTACCTGGATGCATTTAAACCTGCTCCAATACTTAGAATATATGAAACCGGTAATTTTAAAAAACTTCCAATTGGCCCAATAGAGCTATTTGGCCCAGTCAACTGTTTTAGACTGAGGTGTAATAAACAGCAATAGACCTCCTATAACATGTATGTATCTATGCTGGAGTTGAACTTCACAGGATTGCCCTTCTTTAACTCTTAGTACTAATCAATATGGTATAAATTTGTTTTGCTGAAGCGTAGCTGTTAGTTGAGACTTGGGGTGTATCAGACAACAGTTTCATTAACGTTTTCAGCAGGGGGAAACTGGTTTTCACAGGTGGGGAAAACTATTAGAACTGAACTTCTTTGTAAGCAAAACTTTCCACTAGATGGTCAAACCAGCCAGGCAAAATCATCCTCACAGCCGGTCAATTTGCCCAGTGCGCGGCCCTTAAGAAACCCCTGATAATAACAGTGACATAGACCAATAAATTGCCAGTCTTATTCATAAAGACTGAACATACCAAATTGAAGATATGGAATAATAGTCTGCATTTATCTTTAACTGTTCCATGCAAGCACAAAGCTATTCCACCAATAAACTCTTCCAGGTCAATAGTACCACTCTGCAAAGAAACAAACATTACACTATTTCATACCTGCTAACTCTCATTTACCACTTTAGAAATGACAAAGAAATCTGGGACAAGTGTTGTCTTGCCATTGCCTGCGAGACTATTACTGGAAAAAATATGGCTTTTTCGTCCCCAGTTACGGTGCCACAAGCAATTGTGAGATTAAACTTGCCCCACATTTTTTCTTGTTCCTTAAGTGGCCAAGCCTGGGGAAAGCACTCCCCCCCCCCTCCCTGGGGGGACTCCCATATACAAAGGGTAGGGGTGCCTGTAGGAAATTTGATAAAAAACCATAAGAAGTACCAAGATCCTGCTTTGTGGGCGTGGCTTGAAATTTGAAAAAACCCCTTGTGTCCTTTCATTTTTTTTTCGGCTCAATACCCTGAATGGTATCGCAAAAGCTCATACTGTGGAACTTTTAAGACTGAATACCATAAGAGGATCCACACACACACACACACACAGGGAAGCATGCTTGATGACTGGCTGTTATATAATGATATTTTCCTAGGACCAGGAGATGTCCTCAGGTGTGGAGATGTTGGTACGACCAACACTTAATTTGGGAAAAAATTAATAACCTTCCCCTTTTTCCCTTACCACCCTCCCCTTATATGAGCCCTCCTTTGAATGACTGCCGTCCTCAGATGAGTGCTCCCCCACATTACACTAAATCTGAAAGAAATATCCTGAGATCTAAACCACTCGTTCCAGAGTTAATGGTAAATACACTACCCTTCAAACAATGGGCACAATGTATGAAGTATGGTATGAACATATTATGCAGTTCCAGAAAATATCCACACTCTCCCTACATAAGGGATCAGAATTTTCTGGGGGTAGGGGGTACTATGAGACCCAAAAAATGTAATGAAATGTATGAAGCTTAATCGGAATTTTCAGAGGGGTGGGTGGGGGTGGGGTTTTAGAAAAAATCCCTTCCATTTGGGGAGGTATTGCTATTTTCTGGTACTACGCATTAGTTCAATAAGCTTCTGTCGGCACAATTGGTAAGCTTCGGTTTACTCGTGAAGTGTCTCCACAGATGATATAACTGAACACAAATTTATCTCTAAAAAATTTTCCAAAGTGTGAGATACCTCATTTCTGTCGAAAGCAAGAAACAGGCGTTCAGCAATAAAGCCTGGAAGCCGGAATCGTTCAGCAAAATCTTGTCGATTGATCAGAGACAGTTCAACATGCCTCGAACCATCCTCTCTCTTCGTGGAAACCTCGTTGAACACTGCTTCAATATTTGCCAATTCTATGCTACTAAGTTTCTTCACAGCACTTTTGTAGCGTTCCTTAGAGCTTCCTTGACCCATTTCGTTGAAATAATGTAAATCATGCGATCGAATACGGTTACATCTTGGATTGTTTGGCCAAACTGTTTTCTTGACGGTTTTCTCCTCGAATCCAAAATGGCGACGAAAAGGAATCCGCTGCTTGATCGCGGGCTCAAAATGCAATGTGAACTCTCGTCAGACCCCCGCTTGGAAACCCTACTTACTTGGAGGAGGGACACGGGGAAGGGGCCCGGGAGAAAGGTACGGTAGGTGGGAGGGCAAAGGGCGGGACCAGGAAGAGATCGGAAGAGGGAGATCTAAGAGGGCGGAAAGCGGGAGAGAAATATAAAACACTAATTTTTGTCATTTATAATGCGTTAGAATACTTTCAAAAACAAGAACCCGAAATGTCAGTTGATTTGCGTTCAGCGTCTTCTGAGACTTCTGAGCCAACGAGCAAATGAAAATTCGAAACAGGCTTACTTCCGGTGAATTGTACGCCCTTTAACGGTGTGTTTTGAGTCTCCGAATTGACATGGGACGGGAGCAGGACTAAAAAGGAAGGGAGACAGGAGATAAAAACACGGGAAGCGTACCTCACCCGCACAATTACCTGGGAATGAGGAATGGGCGAGAGCCGACAGCGGATGTTATCTAGCACAAGGGATAGGGCAACAAGAAAATCAGAAAATGAGAATGCTTGATGATGAAGGAAAATACTGTGTATCATAATCTCTTGACTGTATACATTTGATCATAGCCCAGTCTTGAGAGATACAACAGTACTATTAGTACTAAAGTACCTTTCAG